TTCTTTCTTTCTTTCTTTCTTTCTTTATTTCTATGCTGGCTTCTTTCTTTCTTTCCTCCTATGATGAATTAAATCAACCCTGATTATCACTTCGCATGGGGCCCTGGCCCCTCCTTTTACGCACGCTCTCTCCGCCCAGCCCAGTGCTGATGCTGACAGTCAGCGGCTGCTGCGCTCGCAGCGCGCCTTGGTGATCAGAGAGCCGCAGAACTCCGGGCTGAACGCACCTCACTGGACCAGCTCTCCTCTCCTCTTGGATCCTACGAGCTTTTCGCCTTTCAGTAGAAAAAACAAAGACTCTGTTATATGTTGTTTTTTTGTTTTTGGGACTCGTCTTTCATTAAAGGATCTGTATTTAAAGTTGGATTTATGAAGATGTTTCCGGCCAAGTAGCGCACCGGGACGGGGCGTCTTTTCTCTCTCCTCTTCCGCTTTCTTCTTGTTTGCTTTGGATTAAATTTACACCACATCGAATTTAGAGAGGAATCACCCCCCCGAAAAGCGCTGGCTTTACCCCCGATGAAATATCTGCCATCCGGACCTGCAGCGGATCGACTTAGTGAGCGGATCAAACTCATCGAGACCTCCGAGTCTGCGAAGCGTCGCCCCGGCGCTGCGCTCCCTCCGCTGACCCCTCTGGACCCTCTGCGGCAGGCCAAGCGGCTCCCCATCCGACTGATCAACATGTTGACAGCGCACACTGGACATCTGCTCCACCCGGAATATTTACAGCCTTTAACATCCGCACCAGTCAGCATCGAGGTATTTATTGACTTTTATGGTTTCACAGATGGTTGCTTTGAACTGCAGCATTTGCAGCGATGGGGAAACATACATGACCTTGTAGAGGGAAATAAGAAAGAATGTTCTTATTCTTATAATGAAATAAAGAATTTGTTGATTTTAGTTTTATTCGTTATCTTTAAATATCTTAATTTTTTTATTCAGCTGATCCAAATTCACATTTCCCACCAAACTGGGCGTCTTTTTCTTTGCTTAGTTTTTATTAAAAAGTCTAATAAACGACATTTCTAGTCCAAAACCTCCATAAGTCGTCTTGGCAGTCAGCCTATAGTAGACCTTTTAATCATCCCACCTTTTAATCACCAGTAGACATCTTTATAGACATTGTTTTCCCTTTAGTTAGTATATCTCCATGTTGATCGAAGGTCAAATCTTTTTGGTGTCATCTAAGAAAAAATGGGAGAAGAATAGTGAAGAAACTAAATAAACATCACAGCCAGGGCTGGTTTCAAGAGGATATGGGCCCCTGGGCAATATCCAATTTTGGTGCCCTTTAAGAAATACACCTTACATTAATTTAATCTCTTAGATATATATATATATATTTTCAATGTCTTTTGGCTGTGTCCATATACATTTTTGAATTTTCAGTAACATAATTTCTAAATATTTATTTAATAAATTAGCCAAATGTTTACAGTACCTCTGCCAGATCTATAGAAATGTAATGGCAGTTGCCTTCCTCCAAAAAACTACAGTGTATGCAGAGAAATTGCTGTTATTTCAACACTATAATGTTCCAAGCATTGCACATTTAAATTCCACATACTAAAAAAAACTCAGAGTGATATTGGCTTGTTCGTCTTTGAGAAAGAATATTTAAAAAATAATAAAATTCCGAATTTGCAATATATTTATTCATAAAAAATGCATAAAAGTTGAGTAAGCAGCTGCTTAAGTCCGGACCGGTTCACAGCTTCACTTTGACGGCACAGAAGTCTCCTAATATCAGCTTATGTTTGAACTGAAAGCTAAAAAGCAGATGTCAGTTTAAAAGTTTGAAGATATCCTCCTTTAGGAAACTGTTTGTTTTTCTTCTCTGTTTAAAAATCGACAATTCAGCTGATACAACAACAGCTATATTTCGAGCTGCTGAAGAGAAAGACAACAGTAACGGCATTAAAATAATAGTTTTACATAAAACTGAAGCTTCCTGACTCGTAATGACTCAAATTTCTTGTTGTTTTTTTTGTAGCTGGATGCAAAGAAGAGTCCACTGGCCCTGCTGGCTCAGACCTGTTCTCAGATTGGTAAACCGGACCCTCCTCCCTCCTCTAAGCTTGGCTCCTCCTGCAGTCCAGGAGACAAGGAGCCCAGTGGTCGGTCATCTGCCTCAAATCTGAAGCTGGGGGAACACCGCCCATCAGCTGAAGACAAATCCAGCTTTAAACCGTACAACAAAAGCAGTGTAGACTGTCGCAGGGATGGCGTTACCAGCAGCTCCAGCGGCGATAAAGTTGGATTCAGGGTACCGAGCAGCAGTAGCTTAACTATTAATGGGAATTCAACTAGCAGCCAGCAAGCCTTCCCATCTCACACTTCATCCCCTGGCTCCAGAGGCAGCAGCACCCCTCCGGGACAGGCTCAGCAGCAGCATCACAAACAGAGCCAGTCTCCAGGTGGACAGCCCAGTTCACAGCCCCAAACTCTGAGCGCCGAATCGGGACGTGAGCAGAGCAGTCCTTCCAGCACTTCTGGTAATCATAATAATAACAATAGCAATCCAAAAAAAGACAGTGATGTAAACAAGGCCAGCACAGACAGTCCACATCACGCCAACTCCAGTCATGTTCGGGCGAGCACAAACTGCAGCAACAGCAGCTCTGATGGGGGCTCCAACCAGGACGGCGGTAGAGCTGAAAACACTCATCCTAACCTTGGATCTGGACATGTAACGCCCATCTCTCCTTATAAAAGCAGCCAGCCGCTCTTCCCCCTGCCCTCCTCTAATATGGGCTATCATGGATCAGTCATGGGGGGTTACGCAGGCTACCCGTCACAGTTCATTTCAGGACTGGACCCGTCTAAATCAAGCCTCAGTATGGGAGGAAAACACTCCAGCTCCAGCCCTCTGTCAGGTGCCTCCCCCCCCTCGTTCATGCAGGGCCTTTGCAGGGACCCTTACTGTCTAAGCTACCCTGGTGTGTCTCATCTCGGCACTAACAACTGCAACTCTTGCATTCACGACCCTTCCTCCTCCCTAAAATCAAGCTTTCCTATGGTGTACCCCTCCCATCCACTTCATTCCCTCCACCAAAGCTCTTTGTCATCCAGCGTGTCCCCCTCCCTGTCCCATCCCCTATATACATATGGCTTTATGGTCCCCAACGACCCCCTTCCCCATGCCTGCAACTGGGTGTCAGCTGGAGGGCCGTGCAACAAGCGTTTTGCCACCTCGGATGAACTCCTGGCTCACCTTCGCACCCACACGGCTCTGCCTGTAGGAATGGACAGTAAGCTGCTCTCTGTTTCTTCATCTGGACCCGCATCCTGCCACTTACACCTCCCACACCAGAGCAACCCAGGCTCCCTCCCCAGCTCTCTATCGCTCAGAGCTCCGCCAAGCTTCGGTTTAGCTCGCTATCATCCCTACAGTAAGGTCCATCTCCCCTCTGGGCCTTCCTCCATCTCCCTGCACTCTCTGCCCACCACAGGCCCCTACTATCCTCATTACACTCTCTACAGTCAAAGACTTGGATCTGCATCAGCTCTTGGATACCAATAGAACACCATGTACTTGTTTTTTTTCTCTGAATAGTTTGACATTTTGGGAATTATATATGTTTGCTTCCTTGCAGAGAATTTCAAACAGCTCTCTCATAAATGTGAACCTATGGCCTGTTAGCTTAGTTTAAAAATCTGCCCTGGCTTCAGCTTCCTTCATCTCTAAAACTCATATGAAACATTGTTTGATAGGACCAATAGCTGAAGCAAGATGTTTTAAATTTTCTCATAAATTTGGCAGCAGGTTGTGAGAAAACCGAACAGAAGCCAAAGCTAACAATCTAACTTGCCTTATAACATGGATAACCTATGTTTATTCCACCCATTTATTTCAGATTAAAAACATATTGCATGACTTCACGAGCTCCTTCTAAGGTGTTGCTGCTTCTTTAAATAGCCAGGCTAGCTTTTCGCTTTTTGTTTGTGCTAAGCTAACAATCTGCAGCTTTATAATCGTCGAGAAAACAACAATGCCTTGCCTCTGCCAGAAAGTTCGAAACCGCATTCCCCAAAATGTTTTACTATCTCTTTAAAACTGATTGTGGCAACTTTTCTTTTTTCTTTTCCATACTCAGAAATAAATTATAGGCATTTTTTTTTCTCCAAAACCTAAAAGCATCTCCTCGCTTTGTTTGAAGTTTAATCCACAAGATTTCTAAAATAGACTCTCGTTCTAAATGAAGAGGGCATGTAGATCTTTTCTACACGTTGCACGAGACTCTACAGCCCTGAGGTGATCTACGGCCCTGTGCTTTCCTAGAATTTGATGGTTGTGCACATAAGCTCTTAACCGTTTTTTTCAACAAACAGTGGTTATTTAGTAAAGAAAAAAAGCTGGTGTGTAAGTGGCTGCAGCCTCTGGCCTCAGTTGCCTTCTCCCTACTGGAGATGCATGAAAGCTGGAAACAACACACCCATTTAGCTCACCAAATGTTTGTGATGACATGCTTGGATTCTTCTATACTCCTTGCCGCTGACGAGGTGTATTTATTTCCTACAGAATCTGTGGCTCCAAAACTTTCTATATGTTCACCTTTTGCAGTAATGTGAGCAGGCCTGTTCGGAAACCTGGACAGGTGTTAAAACTGTGTCTTAACACTTTGTATTGAATGAATGTTAAAATCACATCTTGTTCACAGCTTTTTGATTTTTTTTTATTATTATTATTATTTCCACAGCAAAATGAATAAAACTGAGATGTGATATTTTTTTCTAATATTAAAAACACCCCTTGGAGGGTGGGATGCAGTGACATGCTGGGGGGGAGGGGATCGTATTTTGGTAAATAAATCACACTAAAGACGTGGATTCTGTTGTTTTCATTTCTGGTGTGGATACGGTAAAAAGACTTTTGAAGCAGTTAACTTTTTATCGTCATCATATGTGAATCCAGATTAGATCCTGCAGCTAGTTCATGGATATTAAAAGAGGCTGCATGTTTGTATATGAAGGTTGTTTAAGCAAAAGCTAGCAAATATGTACTCAAAAAAATGGAAACAGCTCAGCTAATGATCTACCTTTGAGAAAAATTAAAGAAAAGTTCTGACATAGACCATCAAAAGTATCTGTAATAAAATGGCTGCTGCTATATAATAATATAGGACAGTGCACTTTGATATATTTTACTTAATTGGATAGTTAATACTATTTTCATACTCCGATCTCTGATTATATTTGATACGGTGATCATTTGTGGTGCAGCTCCTCCAATATTAATTTCCTGTGTAAATAATTAAGTAAATATTTCCCTCTTGAAGTGGAAATAAAGAGAACTGCACATACAGTAGGAAATAACCTGCTCATAACCTTTTAACAGCACCTTTCTGCAGAAATTTGAAACTATTTCCTTTAAGCAATAATAGCAAACTAAAAAAAAGGGAAGGTTTAATAATAATAAAAAATTTTTTTACTGTTTTCTAATGATCTTTGATTTATTAGGGCTGTTAAAGCAGAAAAAAAAACTCAAGTTGATTTAAAGCCACAGTATTGTCAAGCCAACCCTCATAATGTCAGAAACTCTACATCAACCTGCTCCAAATATTTATTGCCGCTCAAATAGTTTAAGTACTTTTTAAAGGAAACTGGTTGAAGTGACTCCTGGGAAGATGTAAAGTTTTACGAGCTCGGCTTTCTCTGCGATCCATCCGGATGTGTTCAAGCTGCTATTTTTCCTATGAAGGAACCCCATGATTGATGACTTTAAGTAGGCTTGACTAACAGTGGTGAGCACACTATGAGCTGCAGCAGTGTCACCTTGAAGCGAAAGCATCCAGATCTGACTCTCACAGATCCTCTCTGACAGTCAGACCCTCGAGGATGTTAGACGAACATCCTGGAAGTTCTCGATAAGGATCAGAACCACCTCCTTGAGGTGTTCAAGGAAAAGTCCTGACAGACACTAAAGTTACCACATCTGTCTCATGATTGGCAGCAGTGATATAACAATTTCCTTGCAACGTGACACTCTGACCCCCATGGTGAAGTGTAGATGAGCCAAACTGGTCACTCACGACTTTGACAAGGGAGGCACAGAGGTCAAAAACAGCCTGTCTCTGCTGTAACCGGAGAGGCCGCTTCAGTTACCGTGCTCTGAGACAGAGCTGTCGGGCTGTCTGGGTTCACCCCAGGGGCATAAGATCCTCTGTCTGTACTTATGTTGTAGGTTTCACTTTGCAAAATATCCTGAAACCAGATGCACTTAGTTTGATAACTGCTATGCGGCTGCCAACACCGTGCCCATCCTCTCTGCCACTGCCAGGCTGGAGGTTTTGACACACAGAGAGGCTGTTTTTTATTCATTAGACTTCATCTCTTCAGGTTGCCTCTGTGTGCTGCTAGAAACAACAGTTTAGAACTGGACGGTGATGCCACCTATTGGTGACTAACGATATATGTCTGTTTTAAGCATATTTAGAAGCAAAACAACAACCCATTACTGAGTATGACATCATCTTTTTGGTAAAAAAAATATATTTGTTCTATTTTTAAAATGGCTTCCAGAAGATAAACCTATGAAACAGATGAACAAAACAAATATATATATATTTTTTAGATATTTTGACAGCAGAGACAAATTCCCTGCCTATGTATTTATTATGTGAATAATTACATCATTTTTACTTTATGTCAGCTTAACTGCAGCTATGTCTCTGACCTGTTCTGCTGTGTTTTCTTTGTCTTGATGGAGTTGATTGTTCCAGGCGGCTCTAGGACATTTTGTGGGGTGGCCAGTGGATTTTTACTGGCCATACTGGCATGCTGCCTGACCAGTGGCGGTTCAAGGAAAGGTTCATTGGGGTGGTCGAGCAGGGGACAATGTGCACTGAGGGATGGCTGAAACTGATATGTGCCAAAAACCTCTTATCTATAGCGATAAAAATAAACCAAAAGGAAAATGAATACACACAACATCCATATTTTCCTAATAAATACCTGAAAACAGACCATATTTTCATTAGGGTTTTCATTAGCTGATAAATCTATGCTCATAATTACACATTAGTGCTTAAATGAATTTATGGTTCTACAAGGTTTGCATAAAATAAACATTAAATGGGTTGAGCAATGTTCTTTATCTTTAGAGAGGATTCTTAAGTGACTATAAAGACTGATTCTCTTCTATAAAACCTTAAAACTAGTGCATAAAAGAGCAGAAATTCTGTATTAGTCCTTTTTATATGTAGAATATTGTTGTGAATGATGTCTAGAACAAAAAATCCAATAAAAAAAAAAAAAATCAAGGTTTGTTAAAAAACTACATTTAATGGTCAGGCTACCTCAGAGATCTCACACCCAAAAAGAAAAGATTCTCCAAAGCATGATGCCACCACCACCATGTTTGCCCACTGTGTATATGTTTCCATTCTTAAACAGTAGGACTCTATTTACTGCTTTAAGTGTATGGAAAACTAAAAAAAACACATGCATGCCACATTTTTCAGTATCGTTTTGTTTTAAAAACTCTAAATTATGCATCATGTCTATTACATAAAGTCCATATTTAATCAGCGTTCATGATTATAATGTGAGAAACTATTTCATGCACATTTGCACATATGGTGTCTGAATTTGTTTATCTATACAGAGTAGTTTTACTGATGAATGTCTGCTAATTTTTGTCCTCCAACACTTTCGTTTGTTGCAGGAGAAACCTATCATTTAATAAGGGAGGAGATGAAGGCTGAAGCCCTGTGGTATTATCCTCCTCCTGCCTGGTTGGTCTGAATGAGTTCTCGCTACAGCCTGACAGCCCAGATGATTAATGATGACAGACTGCAGAGCCGCTCCTTCACTTCATGACGAGGCTTTAACCTCTCAATTAGCCCGAACCAGTGCAAATTATAAAAGGGAGTTGAATTCAAAAGATTTTCCAAAATATAAATACTTCGCAAAGGCTAATTTCCATTTTAACTTTTTTTCTCCCCCTACTAAATGTTTGGTCTTAAAGATGATCAAAATCATTAGGCGTGCTCAGAGATTACAAACATCTTCCTTGATATTCTCTCTGACATGTTTCTGAGTTACGGCCTGCAAACTGCTTCCCAGAAACGGACTCCTCTGCTTTCATTTTGTCCTCTCCCCAACTTTATCACTTCATCCATCATTCTACTACGAGTGCTTTTCAAGTGGTCCAAAAATAAAGCGGACACAGATGTCAGCCATGCTATACTGATGTTTCTTAACCGCCAGAAACCCTTCACTTACGTCCACCCACAGGCGGGGAGCCATGTTGAAAAATACACTCCACTAAGCCACTGTTGAACTCAGCTCCTCCAGCTATTGTTTGTGTAATAAGCCAACATACCACATTAATAAACGTGGATTAAAGCAGGTATCTTTTTTTCTCAAAATTCAGTCAATTAGGTTGATCTCACTTCTCCTTCCTTCTGCCTCTTTGTAGGACCAGAAAACCAAAACAGGGATTTTAGTGGTGTACAAGAAGGCAAATGCAATTATGGTTTCTCTTCTAATGTGCAGCTGGTTTTGATCTGGTTGCGCTCTGAAAGGCTCAGAGCTCAGTTGTCAGCTCTCATGCATCACAGAGCCTGAGCTTAACGGAGAAACGTGCTTTGGCAGTGACCAGCGGAGGCCTGGAGGCCAGCAGCGACTGCTGGTGGGTTAGCCACATTTGGGGGTGGGGGGGGGATACACCATCTTCTGTTTTCTGCATCTGGATCCCCAAACACCACATCCAGTCATTCCTTATGGTTTTTCACCCTCTTCACAGGATTCCTTCATTGGCCGACGTGACCTCGAGCAGACGCCACGCCGCAGACTTGGGAGGTCAGAGAAAATGCTCCAAAATACACGTGCACATATGGATGGCTGAGGGAATAATGAAAGACAGAGTGGGGGGGCAACCCACAGTGGCCGGGGAGAGGAAAGCTTGCATGGAAATGAGGAGGCATGATTACTCAAATACAGTCATTAAGGAGGAAATGTTGTTTTTCAAGCTGTCAGGATGATTAATGAGGGAGAGCAAATCTGCACAAACGCTGTTGTTTAGTCTAACCAGCAGACCTGATCTCTGCCACTAACTTACAACAGACAGGATGTGTGGGTGCTTTTAGTGATGCTGTGAGCTAAAGCTGCAGGAATACGGCAGATAAAATATGCTTTTTAAGGTGATTTATAGGAGGACACCTATTGAAATACTATTCATAACAATCTGTACTTTTCTGAATTGGATGTCTGCGTCGTAGCAATATATTTCAGTCAACCAGGTTCTTACTTTCAGCCTGGTTAAGGTGGCCATATAGAGACGTTCTAGAATACATCTAAACTAGTAGTAAAGTAGATTTATAATCCACTGGAACTTCCTGAATTTCAGTTTAAATAAAGGATCATTTGCATTTCAGGTTGTTGTTGCTTAACTTTCACCTTAAATAAAATGTATGTTGTGCATGCAGTTTCTCTTCCTATATATGTTGACAAGAAAGTCCCTGTAAAGATAAACATTTTGGATTCTTATAAATGTTGCCGAGTAACTTAAAGATTAGGGTAATGATAAAGAGGCCTTCATCCCAAAAATCAAAATAACTCAGAATGAGTTCTTCTTACATGTTATTCAAGATCTTTCTTTTTCCTGTGCACACAGGTAGGACATCAGATACAGCAGTATATGATGGTGTACACTCACTGGACAGATATTTTTATACATGTTGACAAGACAACATCACACAGCTGTGTGCAGATTTTTCTGCTACACTTCTAAGAACCAACTCTTATTGTCTAGCAGAGAAAATGTGCTGTAGGCTGTGTTATCCTGCAGCATGCCTTTAGGAGATGGTTGCAC